GGTTTCGCTGCCGCTGTGGAGAAACAAACTAGCGGCCTCACCTTCCTTTTTCGGTTCCGCAAATCCGGCTTCTCTAATTAACTCACCTCTCATATATATATAATCCATACTTCGTCAGTTACTACCAACCCAATTTAACATAATTATAGATAATTACTACTTTACCTAATTAATGATAATATTAATATTGATATATAATAATAACAATAATTTCTCCTAATCCACCCCACCAACGACACAAAATCCTTCTCGTTAATCACTTCTCTCTCCAATTTTCCTAATTAACAACCGAGAATTCATTCCCTAGTTAAATCCTTAATTGTATTTCCCTAATTAACCAATATCTAATTGTATTTTCCTAATTAAGAGCCGAACAAAACTTCCTAAAAAAATATTATACAATTAATGTTAATTTAGCGGGTCATTTAGTGCTCTGTCATGGATTCCGGGAATGGATCAGGTGAGTAACCTTATGGTGAGTAACCATGAGTAACCCGTCCACATCAGCATGACATCAGCATCCTCTCTCTCATGGAAAGCCTTTAATTTTTTCCTTTTTAATCTTTGACGGACGATTTCTCGCTCATTTTAAGTCGAAATTTAATTTTTTTTGCACAGTTAGATCAGATTAATTGTGCTCTTCAAAATGATATCCACTTTAATATATTTTTCGAACAAAAAAAATTGACCCATTTTTTACCAGCCTATACCATATGGTATTGACTAGTATTGAAATAAAAACATACCTATGTTTTGAAAAACGTACCATGGTGGTATAAATAAACCAATACTGTAGGATGGTTGAATACATGATAGTAGAAGTATATTAATTGTAATTTACGACTTTTAACATTGTATACCACACAATACCACCCCGTACCAGGGTGATATTGTATGGTATTGTGTGGTATTTTTTGGTCCTGTAATTTTTTTCACCTAGAAATTTGTAGATCCAATAGATCATGATGAACTCGTCCCTTCTGTGCAAACGTTTTCAAAAACGAATTAAAAACGAAGAAGATACCATACAATACCACCCCGTACCAGGGTGGTATTGTATGGTATTGTGTGGTATTTATTGGTCCTGTAATTTGTTCACCCAGAAATTTGTAGATCCAGTAGATCATGATGAACTCATCCCTGCTGTGCAAACGTTTTCAAAAACGAATTAAAAACGAAGAAGATACCATATGGTATGCAGTTGGTACCGAGAGGCCAGAATTTTTTTTTCCTAAAAAAATATTGAAAATTGATCTCATTTTGTAGAGCACGGTGAACTCGTTCCATCTGTGCAAAAAAAATTAAAATCCGAGTTAAAACGAAAAAGATATGAGTCAGTTAATAAAGCTAGTGAAAATAAAAGTAGTCTTTAATTCTCCATCCTTAGATCTGGATTTTCTAAATGAAGGGTCCAGATTTGGTTATTGATGGGTGCATAACCATGGGTTATGCACCCTATCTTGAGCCATGGATTCCTTCCCAATCACCCACGTCTCATTATATTAATTTAATTTCCTTAATCAATAACAGACTAGATTAATGTTTAAAATGATCAATTATTAACACACTTTCCTTATTATATTCCCGTTATGATTCCCCTGTAATCCTCCACCTTTAATTGCGGCAAAGGTCAGCCATCTTTCCTTTAAAAAAAATTGGGTTAATAGCATTTTCTACTCCTCTACTATCGCAAATTAACAAACATACCATTTTACTAATTTTTTGCACAAACGTATCCTTCTACTATTAAAACATAACAAACATAATCTTCTGTCTAATTTTCTGTTAAACGACCGTTAAGTGGGCTGGGAATGACTAAATTGTCCCTCATTTGATGCTAATTTAATTTCAATTATTAATAATCCCAATATAATTAAAATTAAAATAAAACCCTTAAACATATCCCTCCACCCAACTCGAAACCATCCATCTTCCCAAAGCCCCCGCCTCCCCTGAAATTCAGTCTCCCCTGAAGTCTCAATCTCCGGCGGGGCTCCCGTTTTCTCTTCGCCGACGGTTGAAGCAGGAAGGACTGCTCGGCGATCAGCGGTTGATCCATCTTCTCCGTACGAACACACAGCTCACAGCTGGAGGGTGGCGTGCGATTCTTCCTTGTCGGCGACTGTAGCAGCCTGCATTCCCTCTGTCGAGAAGCAATCTCTCCCCAATCAGCAATCGCCTTTGCTAATAATCCTCGGTGCATTAGAATTGTTGAGGTATTATTTGTTGAAACCGTACCAAGTATAATAGATTTAACGTTGAGTCTGTGATGGATACGACAAATATATGTAATTGAATATATTGGTTGTATGTTGTGATTTTGGAATTTGATAGGTAAAGGAAAAGTCGAGATTTTTCCAGAAATAGCACTGTTTAAAAAATAAATTCCAAAAATAGCACCCAACTCCGAAAAATTCCAAAAATAGCACCATTTTTGTAAAACCGCCACCCGGATGTGCGTTTTTCGATGAAAACGCCACCCGAGGGCGCGTTTTTCGATGAAAACCGCACTAGTAGGGAGCGGTTTTGCAGACCGCACCCCCAGGGTGCGTTTTGGTTGCAAACCGCACCCCAGGGTGCGTTCTGCCTTTTTTTTTTTTTTTTTTTGCAAACCGCACCCCCAGGGTGCGTTCTGGTTTTTTTTTTTTTTTTTTTTTTTGAAAAATCCTAACTTAGGTGGAAACTTCAAACGAACGTATCTTTATGTTCGGGTATCCGATCGTCGCGATTTTTTTTTTCCGCATAACTTTTTGAGATCTTGCAAGCCGAAGACTGCCAAAGGTGGTTTGGTCTCGCCTTCGTCCCAAAAAATGTCGTTTGCTACCCTGAACGAACTTTTTTCCGATTTCGTCAAACTTTGGACAACCATAACTTTGTGCTCCAAAATCCAAACGTCATGAAATTTTTTTTATTTCGCATAAATTTTTAAGGAATACAACTTTTATCATAGACATAATTTCAAAATGTACGTGGATTGCTGAGAAGGGAAGATAAGCTATTCCCAAAATCCTGTATATCCAAAAATAATTCATGTTTTGAAAATACATTCCTAGTAAAAATTGTAGTCCTTAAAAAGTTATGCGAAATAAAAAAAAAAGTCATGCCGTTTGGATTTGGAGCACAAAGTTACGGGTGTCCAAAGTTTGACGAAATCGGAAAAAAGCTCGTTCGGGGTAGCAAACGACATTTTTTGGTATGAAGGCGAGACCAAACCACCTTTGGCAGTCTTCGACTTGCAAGATCTCAAAAAGTTATGCGGAATCAAAAAAAAAAATCGCGACGATCGGATACCCGAACATAAAGATACGTTCGTTTGAAGTTTCTACCTAAGTTAGGATTTAAAAAAAAAAACAAAAAACAGAACGCACCCTGGGGGTGCGGCCTGCAAAACCGCTCCCTACCAGTGCGGTTTTCATCGAAAAACGCGCCCTCGGGTGGCGTTTTCATTGAAAAACGCACCTCCGGGTGGCGGTTTTACAAAAATGGTGCTATTTTTGGAATTTTTCGGAGTTGGGTGCTATTTTTGGAATTTATTTTTTAAACAGTGCTATTTCTGGAAAAATCTCACGGAAAAGTCCATCTGGATTCTGGAGTATCACTGTTAGTTGTTTGTGCGGCAGCAAACATGACCAATTAAGGAGAAAATTGTAGCGGGGCTGCTGAAATTGATGGTGCAGCTATTGATTATGAAAAGAAGCCGAGAGCTGGCGCCGGAGATTGATCGGTGGCAGAATTTCGGGGGAGACTTCCATTTCAGGGGAGGCGGGGCTTTTGGGAGATGGATGGTTTCGCGTTGGGTGGAGGGATTTGTTTAAGGGTTTTGTTTTAATTTTAATTATATTGGGACTATTAATAATTAAAACTAAATTAGCATCAAATGAGGGGCAATTTAGTCATTTGTCAGCTCACTTAACAGCCATTTAACGGAAAATTAGACAAAAGATTATGTTTGTTACGTTTTAATAGTAGAAGGGTACGTTTGTGCAAAAAATTAGTAAAGGGGCACGTTTGTTAATTTGCGATAGTAGAAGGGTAGAAAATGCTATTAACCCAAAAAAAATTATCCGTCTGCCCGCCGACGTTGGACGGGGTCCGATCGACGGTGACGGACGGGGTCCGATCGATGGCGCCGGAGTCGGACGGTGTCCGATCGACGGTGACGGACGGGGTCCGACCGTCGGAGTCGGACGACCCTCGCCGACACCTTTTGCACAGAGACGATTTGACCATGGCTCCGAGGATTGTGACAGTTTGGCAGTGATGGTGGTCTGTCGGCGGTTGGCTCCGGCGGTTGTGGTCCGGTGATGGTTGTTTGGCGTCGATGATGGTGGTGGTCTGTTGCTCGTGAGAGGGTGGTGAAATGAGTATTGATTGGTATGAAATAATTCAAATCGGAGGGTAAAATTGACATTTTAATTTAAAATATGGGCGGCAAATAGTAAAGACTTGGCCAAGGTTGTCAAACCGGTTTAAGTCATTGAGCCGGTCAAGCAAGGGGTTTGAGGTTTAATGGTCTGATCGGGGTCCGGCCGGTTTGAGCAGTTTCAGACGTTTTCTAAATATATATACAAATAAAGTAGTAATTAAAAATTTAATGAGTGAAATAAAATTTATCTTACATATATCTATTAAAAACTTATTTTGAACAAAATAAATCTACCTAACCTCCATGATCCACCTACCATTTCCCTTCCTTCGTTCCTTTTCCTCTCTTCCGCCTCTCTTCTTCTCCCTGTTTAGGGGTCAGACCGGAGGGTTTTCTGGAGGCCGTTTTGAAGCCCGACTCGGGTCGAACCGGAGAGTTCGATAGGGGTTTAACAATCTTGGACTTGGGCGGCAAATAACAACCCTCTTTTCTTTAAATCTAGGAAACCTGAAAGTTGTTCTTGATGGGACCCGCCTTAAATCGTCATCGATCTTGACGAGTTCATATGGTTTAGTAAAATCCTAAAATGGGAGAAAATTCCAAAATCGCCACGATAAGCTGAATCCCACGAAGGCACGAACACAAAACGACATGAATAACGCACTCGCCACATGGTGCAGTTGCTCAGTGAACTAAAGTACTAAACTACTGCCATCTCCAATTCCTCAGAAAATGGCGTATCCGACTCTTGCTCCTTCCAGCTCTCTCCCCTTCCTCCTGCTCTGCCTAATCTGCTCTTTAGTCTCAGCACAGACAAATGAAGACGCCACGATCAAGACCATGGAGGATTTTCTCTGGCTACCCACTTCACGAAAGCAACAACCCCTTTGATGGATCAAGCTCTCTTCCTACTTCACTCTCGGTGGACGGCGATAGCCTGCAGAGACAGGTAGTTGAACGAACTCGAGGGCCTTTCTCTTTTCTTTCAATTGAGTTGGGTGGGGGATTTCTTACTTACTGTATGCTTTGTGAGTTGGTTAAAGAGAATTTGGTCGTTTGTTTTTTTGTTTGCTGTTGCTAGATTGATGAGCTCTCGACCTTCTCGGATACACCAGCTCCGTCGGTCACTAGGATTTTGTATTCTGAAAAGGATGTCTTGGCCCGCAGGTAAATTACTTCAATGGCGGTTCCTTTGTGGGTGATGGAATTGATTCTCATCAGTGAATTTCTTTGTCTTTTCTTCTTGTTGCTTACTTTTGGGTTGGTGTACTTATACATGAAGCGGCCTTTGGTTTCCAAATTCATCTCTTTTCTCCTCCTCAATAAAGTTTGAAGCTTTGTGAAGTGTGTCCAAAGATGGTTGAAGTGTCTTTTAAGAGTTTTTGCTGGATGACAATTGCAGGTACATTAAAAATTTGATGGGACTCTCTGGCCTCTCAGTTAGGGAAGATGCTGTTGGCAACATATTTGGCCGATGGTAAGTCTTTAATCCATGATACCTTGTGAACCGAGATTAGGTGAATGGAACTTGATTATCTCATTTGGATGTTAGCTTGCTTTTGGTTTTTTTGGCCATGTACCTTTAGGTCTTGCCTTTTCTTTCTGCAGGGATGGCTACGAGCCTGGGCTCCCAGCAGTTGCAACTGGTTCTCACATTGATGCCATTCCATACTCCGGGAAGTATGATGGAGTTGTTGGTGTCTTGGGTGCAATAGAAGCTATAAATGTACTAAAGAGGTAACTTTTTATTAAGGGTTGACATTATAATCGTGTAAAATGAATCATCAATCAAAGTTTATGTGTTGCTCATTTTAGCAAGTAACTTTCTGCCACAGATCAGGGTTCCGACCAAAGAGATCGCTAGAAGTTATCTTATTCACATCAGAAGAACCAACAAGATTTGGGATCAGCTGCTTGGGAAGGTTAAAATAGCTGCTTGTTCTCCGTTACCAATGCCCTTTTCTCATTTTCTAGCTCACAGAGACTAGAGTGTATATTTATCTGTTATGTTTTGACATACAGCCGACTTTTGGCTGGGAGTGTGACACTTGCTGAAGCTTTGAAGAAAACCACAGTTGATGGTCAAAATATATCATTTGTGGATGCTGCTAGACTTGCTGGTTATATGAAGGACGAAGATGACTTATCCAGTGTTTTCCTAAATAGTGGAAGCTATTCTGCGTTCCTCGAACTACATATAGAGCAGGGTCCAATTCTCGAGGCAGAAGGTAGAGTATATTACTGTTTGCTACTTTTCCTTACTGTATTCAGGATAGTCTTGGTCCTCACTCGTCCACATCAATCTTATTTCGAATCAGGTTTGTCCATCGGTATAGTAACTGCAATTGCAGCTCCTGCAAGCATCAAGGTTGATTTTGAAGGCAACGGAGGCCATGCAGGTGCTGTCTTGATGCCAAATAGGTAATCCCTTAAACATCTGGTGATACTTTGTGTCATGCATGTTAAACTGGTTTACAGTGTGCCTTGCCAATTACAAATTTATGTGCAACAAGGAAAGGTGTACAGCTTCCATAATCTATGCTAATAAAACTGGGTTTCTGTGCTTAATGGTTCAGAAACGATGCTGGGCTTGCAGCTGCTGAGTTGGCACTAGCTGTTGAGAAACATGTTTTAGATTCTGGTTCAATTGATACTGTTGGTACAGTAGGTATGTTTGCCACTTGTAAGCCTTGGACAGTTTTGTCGAATTTAGACTAGACTATACTTAAATGATGTTTTGCTAAAGCTAATAACTAGTTCATACTTGCACAGGTATACTGGAGCTTCATCCTGGAGCAATCAACAGCATCCCAAGCAAGCCACACCTGGAAATCGGTATGATTTATCGAGTCCAGAAGCTCCAATCATTGTTGTATGCACATAATCCTGATCCATGTTTTCATATGTGGCAGATACCCGGGACATTGATGAGAAACGAAGAAATGAAGTGATAGAGAAAATCCATCAGTCTGCTGTCGCAATAGCCACAAAGCGTAGCGTGTCACTGTCAGAATTCAGAATAGTGAATCAAGACCCACCAGCTTTGTCCGATAAATCTATAATTAAGGCTATGGAAGATGCCACGAAGGAGCTGAACTTAACTCATAAGTCGATGATAAGCAGAGCTTACCACGATTCCCTATTTATGGCCAGGTAAGAAGGCCCTTTACATGCACAAATGAACTGCTATGGATGTTCTCAGTATCCCTTACTACAAACAGCTGACTGACACTGCAACCATTATAACTTTTGCAGGATATCTCCAATGGGCATGCTCTTCATTCCATGCTACAAAGGTAGATATGTCCCACCAGAAGCGCTATTACGGGTCGTATTACCTTGACAATGAACAGGCTACTGATCTAGTGGCCATATGTTTTACTTGGATTTTGTAGGATACAGCCACAAACCTGAAGAATATTCTTCTAGTCAAGATATAGCCAACGGTGTCAAAGTACTTGCCCTTACTCTTGCCAAGCTGTCTCTATATTGATGCACTGGCCCAAGCCTTTCATCATAGAAAACTGTACTTGACAATTGAAGACAGTGGGTTCATGTTGGAGAAATGTATGTACACCATGAACGTCAATAATATTCGATTTTAACCCCCATAGATACCCCACTCTTTCCTTGTGTTAATAGATCATGAATCTTCACATGAAATTGAACATGATCATCGCAAATGGATATTACAAAACTGGTGACAAAGAGATTTCATTGAAGCAAAAGAGTTCTCCCAACGTCTGATTACTAGATGAAACCAACTGTTGTTCTGTTTACAGTAATGTGAGAAGTAAGCAGGCTAGTACTTGTACATTTACTAGTCCAGTAAGCCTGGCCAACTAACTACAACAGAAACGAAATGTACGAGCACAAGTAAAACATCTGTCAGCAAAGAGGCCAAGACTACCACCTCTGTTACTTGTTCTTGACAGGCTACGGCAGAATATACGAAAATGGACACTAGGAACAATACAGCAGAGCTTCCACTATCTATGCACGAATCACCACGAGAATGTGGATTAACAACAAGAAGTCTCTCATTACTACTGGCAGGGCTGCAGTCAAATGGTGGAGACAGAACGCAAGGATGCAGCCTCAGAGATGGTATCCGCAGGTGTAGACATGGTAGAAGTCTCATCAGGTTTCACAGCCGCCTTCTCCAGCAGAATATCGATCTATTATTATCCAGATAAAGAGATGAAATCGAAGTTAGTTTTGGTTGACATGAATGATTTCATCGAGTCGATCAATCAGATAGATACCCACCTTTGCTTTCTGAACCAAGCGGCCAGTCTCAGCCTCCTTAGATTCAACGCTGGAGATTTTGATATCTGTTTGTTCGCAGTTTCAATATGAAACGTGATTTAGTTAACTCTAAACTGAAAAGGGTTTGATCAGGAAAATGTTTTCATTAGAAGAATAGACGAACGAGAGGACTTAGCGCCTTACTCTTCTCGACTGCAAGTCCAGTGCGCTTCAGAGTCTGGGCGATCGTAACCACAGTGGGAATCGCTGGTTTACCCAATTCACAAACCCCACAAAGCATGCATTCAAAACCGAGTTTTAGTTGTTGAGCCAAGCAAATAATAGAACACAGTTTATCAAAAATAAGACACCGTAATCAGATTCGATCAAGAATCCCTAAGAGTCACAATTCCGATCAGAGTCTCTAAAAGCCACAGATGACATGAAGTTATATTTCTGTAGGGAACATGATTGAAGAGACGCCGAACAGAGCAAGTAAGCGAAAGAACGGTTACCCATTCCAAGACCAGAAAGCTCCACAGAGTTGTATTGCTTGATGTGCCTCTGCAACAACGGAACAGCGTATTAATTACTGGCTATATTCATCTCCAAAACCCTAAATTTGACGCTTCACAAACGATCATCACAAACTCAAACGCCGAAGAAATTCTGGAGGCGGCGCAGAGCATGAAGCGCAGAAAGAGAATGCGTTCATTGCCCGCACTTTCGAAGGTTTCGGTCTTAATCTATTAACTTCTGGAAAAGAATGGAACCCTAATTTCGTAAGAAAATTCGTCGCTTCGAGGTCTCATTTTCTCCCAAACAGAGCCCCATCAAGACCAGAAATCGCAAGAGGAAAAAACGCGAAAGAGACTCAAGTTTACATTAAAGGATCCATGCGACAACGATGAAGATCTCCATAATTCTGCCGATTTACTCAATCATCTTCAGTGAAATCAATGCGTAATCTACTCGAGTTTCCATGTTTTCTTACCTTGGCGAGATTGAGGTAGAAGATGAAAGGATTCTTGGTGTTGGAGACCTTGATGAGTTGCTGCGGCCTCTTCTTCCGCGCCTTCTTCTGCGTTGCTGAAGCAACACCAGCACTGGTCGACGCGACGGTGTCAATGGCGGTGGAGTCGCCGAGAACCTCTGGGACTGCGGCGGCGGCGGAGAGATTCTTGGCGCCGTTCGCTTTCTCCATTGCCTGAGACTTCGTGTTGCTGCTCCTGCTATCGGAATCTTTCTGTGTAAGCGGAACCGTAAACGCGGGAACTTCCATTGGAAGCAGAATCTGTGATCTCTCTCTCTTTTTCTCGCTCGCAGGGGTGGAAACTGGGAAACGCGGGGAAACTGGTAACAGTGTTTGCTAATGATGAAGACGAAATGTCATGAGATGAGAGGGAAAGAAGGGGGGGGAAACGGATCATTTTATATTGGTGGGCTACCAATGAGGATGTGACACGTCTATTTCCGTTGGGGAGCGGTAGGGATCTTCTTTTTGGCGGTTAGCGGCCAACGGTGTGAAGGAATTACTTGAATGACGAATTTGCCACTCAGTTCTTGGTTCTTGGACGATTATGTCCTCTTATCTTTTTTTTTTTTCTTTTCTTAAAACGGATATTCCCATTTTCTTTACAGACCCTGATTGGGCTTTCATAATGGGCGGGTTATGAACTTCCAGGGAGTTATTTGTGGCCGGCAATATCCTCTTGGAATAGCCCATTAGTTCTAGGCCCACGATTGTACTCTGCCGGCTAGGCCTAGAAGTATAACTTGGTCGGATTGCTAAGCAGATGCAGTCATGCAGATCCAAGTTTGATGTATATTTTGGTGTGAAGTGTGAACTTAGTATGAACTTTAAGCTAATGAACTAGTTTGGTCCGAATTTTCTAAAGTTCCCATTCTAACCAAAATTTATAATTATTTGGACCACTCTGACCTGATCTATGAATTGTCCATTAAGTTGGACGGTCGACACTATTGACCATTAATCTTATCGTCATGTTTGCACGAAATATTAATAAAAAATACAATAAGAGGCGGTGTTAATCCAGAGACAAATAATTAATCCTCACTAGGCTTGATAATCGATGCAGTTTTGGTTTAACCGAACCGACTAGTCGGTTAACCGCCACCGATAAATGAGCGGCGAGTTCTTGTAGAGGCGGAAGAAGAAGGGAACTGGGAAAGGAATAAGGGGAGAGAGTTGTGAGAGGAGATGGAGAGTTCTGGACCAGGGAGAGGTTGAGAGTGGTGATGGGCGAGAGAGGAGGAGAGGTACAACGATTAGTAGCGGTGCACCGAGTTTTTCTCGGTTAGCAACTGGCAACGCCGGTTATACATATTCCTCCAAAAATGACAACCGACGCTGACAGCGCATGCATATATGTGGTTTTTTATTAGCCAAATAATCGAGTTTTCGGTGTGGTTTTTCGATTAAATCGGATAACTGGCAAACAATTATCAGGCATAATCCTCACATACCGATTACCTTCTTTCTTCTATTGTAATAATACACAACATAAACGGTTATAAATCGAACACAGAAAAATAGGATTACCAATCTGAATGAATTGAACTAGGTCGCTCTCTTTACAAGGTTTGTAGCACTGCCTTGTATTGCGCACATCATGCTATCAGTGGGTCACCTCTAGAATAAAACAACCACTATCTTTTTTCCTCAATTTGTGAGAAAATCAAAGCTACCTAAAGAACACTATATATGTTTTATTTAAGCTCTTTGAGGTTTGAATTGTGTGTTTAGAGAGTCTAGGAGGCTAGGTTCATAGAGCTACACCTGATTTATTAGCATCGTGGTAGGCACAACCAATACAAAGCTTTCCTTTTGCTATCTTTCTATACTAGCACAGGACCCGGCCCTTTGGCTGAAAGAATTTTGTCGAGAAATATGATATATAATAATGGATATATAATAGAGGATTTGAAATGCACAAAATGATTATTTTCTAACTTAGTTATGCACATAACATTTCAGAAAGTGATCCAACTATGCATAATGTGTTTAGACCTCCATGAAAAGAGAAAAATATAATATAAGCATTACTTATAATTATTGAATGAAAAAAGAAATAAATATAACTAATTGTCATCCATTACTTAATTAAACAATATAGTTGAATATTAGAGTTGTTTCTAGGCTAAATTACACGTTTGGTCACTCAAATTATATAAATCTTTCATGTTTGCATCCCGAATTAGTTTTCTTTCTTATTCGCCACTAACTTTACGAATCGTTTCACCGTTAGTCACTGGCCGTTACACTCCGTTAAATTTGTCCTACGTGGCAGTCAACTATTAAGTTTGACCGTTAACTTGATGACGTGGAAATAAAAAAATAAAAACTTTATTTTCCACCTCATTATCCCACATCCTTTATCTAAGGACTTTTCATATTAATTATTTAATTAAATTACAAAAATTAATTTTCACCCACCCACCCGCACATCGCTCTCCGCTCCAACTTCTGCCGCCGCCGTCATCACGTACACCTCTCCTCTCACCTCGCCGCCATCCTCCTCAGCCGGCGGCAACTCCTCGCTGCCGACCCCTCCCCCGCCGCATCTAGAAGCCATCGCCTCCGCCATCTGCAATCTCCGATTCCGCGCCGCCCGTCTCCCTCAGCCGGATCCCTATCTCATCAGAGCGTTCTCCTTCCCCAACACCTCCCTTCCAGCGTCAGGTTAGCTGAGTTATCAGGGGGTTCGAGAACCAACAGCATCAGCTCGCTTCTCGACGGGTCGACGAATCGGGACCACTAGTTCTTCGGCGAGCTCAATCCTGTCGGTCACTAGAGCAGGGAAGGTACGAGGTGTCTTCCATAGTCTCCGAGATGCCCGATTACTTTTTTGGGTTGGAGTATACTGACGAGAATCAGCCGCGAGGAGAGCAAGGTAAACTGGGGAATAAGAATTGGAGATTTGTTTTGCAGAGCGATGGTGGTGTAGGGTTGGCGGGAGGTTCGGAAGAGGGGACTAGTTTTAATTTTTCGGGGATTGCAGGGGATGGTTGGGTCCGCAGAAGGGTGTAAAGAGGTGAATTGAAGAAGGTTGGGACTTGGATGGTAAGTGGATTTTGTAATTTAATTATTTTTATTAAATAATTAATATGAAAAGTATTTAGATAAAGTATGTGGGATAATGAGGTGGAAAATAATTTTTTTATTTTTTATTTCCACGTCATCAAGTTAACGGTCAAACTTAATAGTTGACTGCCACGTAGGACAAATTTAACGGAGTGTAACGGCCGGTGACTAACGGTGAAATGATTCGTAAAGTTAGTGGCGACTAAGAAACAAAAGTAATTCGGGTGGCAAACGTGAAAGATTTGTATAATTTGAGTGACCAAACGTGTATTTAGCCGTTGTTTCTAATAATACATACATAGTCAACCTTTAAGATAAAAGAAAATGTCCCTCATAGAGTTTACTATGTCCTTTAAAATTTTTCCAATAGAAAGCATTCTTTTTTACCACACCATTGGTAATGAATCTGAAGTTGCTTGATTTGAAATATATAGGACATGATGCTAAATTGTCGCTAATAGTTGGTTGGACAGTTTGTTGTGTATGGATTTCCAAAATTATTCTCATATCGCAAACATGTCTAGCAATAGGGGTGGGAAACGGTGGGGTTGCGGTTAACTGCACCGCAATTTGCGGTTAACTGCAACCGCTAAACACCCATATTAGCCAACCGCGACCGCGTCCCTCATGGTTAGCGGTTAACCAAAAATCGCAGAACGCGGTTAGCGGTGAACCGCGGTTTATGGTTGTAAAAACCGCAGAAACCGCAACAGTATACGAAACCGCGGTTAAGCTATCTAAATGACATTTAACCGCGTACTAACCGCAAAAAATTCATGAAAAAAAAAACACAGCAGCTACTGTTTGTCTATTTTCACTTCCATCAAGCCCCTGCATCTGTCTGCATATCCAAATAACAGAATCCACAAATGCACAAATCATTTTCCACAACCCAAGTTTGAACTTCATAGGAAATTAACCAAAAGACCAAATAAACATAGACATAGCTAGAACTTAAACATCAATTCTTCAATCATTCTTGATCGGTGATCCTACTGACTATCCTCCCCATCACAAGAACTGTCATCCTCGCCATCACTGTCGCTAATAGCTCCTCCACCACTAGGTCCCACTCTGATCGAAGTAGAAGGAGCTTCACGATCAATGGGCATTGCATTTACTACACTTCCATGTCCAGCTGTGGCAGAAGTATTCACATCCCACACTAAAGTTTTGAATGCTAAAACAATAAAACAAATATTAGAATGGAATTAAGTTAGAAAGCAAAGTAACAATAGCTCAACAAACTAAAGCAACTAAAATAAAATAAATATCATTGTCAAGATCTTCCAACTCCTCCAAATCCTCATCTTCAATTGGCAATGTTGAGCTTGCTAACCAATTTTCACGGCAAATGAGAGCTTCCACAATTTGAGGAGTCAAAGAACTCCTAAAAGAATCTAACACACGACCTCCGGTACTAAAAGCACTCTCGGAAGCTACTGTGGAAATGGGGAAAGCAAATATGTCTTTGGCCATCTCGCTCAAAATGGGATAGCGATGTGCATTGTTTTTCTACCAACTCAACACATCGTACTTCATATTCTTCGCATCTCCTTCACGAATCTCTACCAAATATCTGTCCAACTCGGAGGATTGAGCAATTTCCTCACACGCTTCATAATCATCATCACAAACACGCCTCCCCACATTGGGCACAAGGCTGCCCACCTCACCAGGAGTAGTATTTTCTGCACTCCCAATACCAGATTGTGACCCTTGGCCTTGACTTTGAGTAGCAGGTTTGCATTTGCTTTGGTAATGCTTAAACAAGGAAGTAAGCTCACTCTGAAGATCTTCAGCCAACTCATCCCCTCTAGCTTGTCCATATAACTTCCTCAAAACATAAATGAGATACTTCATTTTGTGCCTAGGATCAAACACCACTGCCATGTAGAAAAGCTTGTTCATTCTTGAATTATCATTCTCCGCCTCATACCAATACTTTCCTACCTTTGCATGCATCCTAAATGCCATATTTCTTACCTCCTCTTCCTCACTAGCCTCCATTTCTTTGAGCTGGTGGAATATATGAAGAAGCTCTCTCAAGAATAGATGAGAAGTCACATACTTCGTACCTGAAACAAGTAAGGTAAGCTCATGAAAGTAACTCAAGTGCTTGCACAAGTTTCTTGCACTCTCCCAATCTGCTGTAGTTGGAGGACCAATTTCCTCACCCTTGTACTTCTTTAACTTCAAGAGATCAACCCGAAACTCCCCATCCTCAGTCTCAAGAAGTTTAAATGTCTTCTCATACACCTCAGCTGACTCCAACATTAAATATGTGGAATTCCACCTAGTGGGAACATCCAAACACAACATCTTCTTGCAGTCAATGTGATGAAATCTAACACATTTCTTAAATTTTTCCAACCTTGCAGGTGAAGCACGAACCCATTTCACAGCCTCCCTAATTCGAATTACAGCCACCCCAATTTCCTCCAATTAGTCACTGACAATGAGATTAACTATATGAGCCACACAACGGATATGCAAATATGCACCATCTTTAACACTGCTACCCCAAGTCATCAATTTATCCCTTAAGCAACCAATTGCTGTATCATTTGCAGATGCATTGTCAACTGTGATGGTAAACACATCCTTCAAGCCCCATTCTTCCAAAATGCTCCCAATAGAGTCAGCAATATCAACACCCTTGTGACTAGTAATGCGACGAAACCCAATGATCTTCTTATGTAACTTCCAATCATTACCAACAAAGTGAGCAGTCAAACTCAAATAATTAAAGTTCTGAACAGAAGTCCAACAATTTGTTGTAAGAGACACCCTGCCAGCACACTTGTCATGGAAATAATTCTGCAGTTGCTTCCTCCCATCAACAAACAATCTGAAGCAATCGTATCTAATGGTCTTTCTACATGGGATCTTAAACATAGGACATGAAGCAAGACAAAATTGTTTAAACCCTGTCCTCTCAACAAATCTAAAGGGAAACTCATCCATGATTATCATTTAAGCTAATGCATACCTCACTTTTCCCTGCTCAAATTTCCAATTGGCTAAAGCTTTCATACTTTCATCAATTGGTTGTAGGCTTAATTGCATTTGAGCACCTTGCTCTGCCCTTTTTCTTCTACAAGATCTAGTATGAGTACGGAGAGCAGAAGTACCATTATCACGTGGATCGGCAGCTAGCTCTGTTTTGCAAAACAAGCATCTTGCCTTCCTCAACTCCTTCTTCACTACCTTTCCCTCCGCCGCTTGTTTCTTGGCATTGGGATTTGGTACATAATACAGTTCGTACTCTTCATATGTTATTGACTTTATCTTGGACACCTTCCTCTTACTCTTTTTTGCAGGTTGTTTTGTTGCTGGAGCTGCTGCAACAGCTTCACCAGTAGCAGCAACAGGCTGCTCAGGAGCCACAACCTCGGGAGTAGGTGCTGCCACAGAACCGGCAACATATGCAAGTCCTCCACTTCCACTTGATTCATCAACCCTGCGTCTCTTGTTACTCTTGGTCTTGGCGGCAGGGGCAGGAGCTGAAATTGTCTTTCCTTTGTTTTTCATTGTTTTTGCTCCTTCTCCTTGCTTCTCCCTATCAAAATTTCAGAAAATGCCAACTACAATTAAGAGGTTGTTCGAGCATATGTATATATGTACATAACAGAGAAAAAGGAAATGTGAATGGACTGTATTCCATTCATCCATTGAATAAAATTTCTATAATTTATACTTTATGGAATAACAAATTACAACTAGATCGAGCTAAAATATATGTATATAATGTATGCGATAGTTTCTATAATTTGAACAAAATATATGCATAAACGAAAGTAAAGTTGTCCCATTTGGTTTGTGACAACTAACTAATAAACTAACCCCATCCCCATTTTCCCACTGATAATAATAACTAATAAATAATCAGAACCAGACATTTGCACAAATTGGCAATGGCAAGCCCCACACCATTGATGTATACACCTTCCGGTCACTGTTCATAGTTTTCATAGCAGCATGCACTGTTCATCTAGCAGCTGAAAACGCAATCAAATAGTGATATTAAATGCATGAGGACACCATGGTAAGTGCAGGGAAACCCAGTTGAAGATCCCAACAATTACGATTTCTATGTAATAGGGGGATTCTTGGAAACTGAGGATTTTGTTGGGAATTGGAGTTCATATACAGTTTGAATGAGACATAAACTTCCCTGCAATTGTGAACTTCCCTGCTGAGAAAATAGAAACTTACATTGACGCCGACGGCACGGCAGCGGGGCAGGGCAGCACTTGAAGACGGAGGGGCAGCGGGCCAGGGACGGCAGCGGCAGAGGAACACCGTCGCAGGGGAACGCTTGGACGTCCAGGGACGGCGGCGAGGGGATGGCAGCGGCGCAGCGCCACAGCGGCCACCGGGAAGATGGAAGGGTCGAAGCTAAGCCTCGAAGTCGAAGGGTTTTGGTTTTCAGTTTCAGGCTTCAGTTTCTGGTGGGAACTGGGAAGGGACGAAACGAAACGAAGTGGGGGAGGGATTTTT